AGACCGTAGAAATCCTATTGGTGAAACCGAAAAGTTGTTGCATTTCACGAGCATATTATTATTCCATATATTTTGAATATACATATATATATTTGTATATATATATATATATATAATATCTGCATGTATATTTTCTATTTCGACATGTATATTTTATATTTTATTTTATTTTTATTTCTATTCTTGCATATTTTGTAGTTTTGTTTTATTGTAAAATGCCTTATGCTGCTGTAACAACAACAATTTCCCAATTTGGGATCAATAAAGTACTATCTATCTATCTATCTATTAAACTGACGTTATATTAACCTCCGCTACACAGTGTATTTTGCTTTAATAAAAAATGTTGATCACAAAAAAAAGGGTTATTTTGCGATTTGGCAAATCTGAGTCTGCGAGTCCGCACTGCTGTGTGTTGCACACACAGTGAGTCAGGATTTGCGAATCCGAGTCTGCTGTGGACTCGTGCATGACGGACGAGTCTGCTGGATCTCTGGATCTGCTGCTATACGGTTACGGCTCCGAGTCCGCACAGTCTGATCCGCTGTGTGTTGCAGCGAGTCAGGATTTGCGAATCTGCGAATCCGAGTCTGCTGTGTGGACTCGTGCATGACGACGAGTCTGTTGGATCTCTGGATCTGCTGCTATACGGTTACGGCTCCGAGTCCGCACGAGTCTGATCCGCTGTGTGTTGCAGCGAGTCAGGATTTGCGAATCTGCGAATCTGCGAGTCTGCTGTTGGAGCCGTCGGCTCCTCTGAGTCCCCACGAGTCTGCAGGAAGTTTCACTGATCCGCGTCCCCTCCCCTGAGCCAAACGATCACTTCTGGCAGCTATCCTGTGACTGTATACTTGCTAAAGGGTAGGTAGATGGACTTGGGGTACGTTGTAATGTGATTTGACATGTTATAAAGAGAGTAGCGAGTGACGCAATTTATAGTTTTAATTTGTACGTCACACCAAGTGTGGGACTCAAGGACTCGGGTTAATGGAGAGGGGAGACTCGTCATGACCAGCTCATTTCTAGGATCCGGGTTAATGATCCGGATGAATCAGGACTCGCCCATCTCTAGCGGAGGAGTGATGAGGTATCTAGAGATCTGAGTCCAGCGGGCTGCTTGTGTTTCTGTTCATCAGGACATCATATGACCAGCAGATGCTGTGTGAACGCTCTACGTTAGTCAGTGGACGTCCGACAACATGCACACTAACTTATATTGCAGCTATAGGCTATACTTTGGTTTACCTTGCGTGAATAAACTAGCTAGAGAGCTACAGTTAATTACATTCATCCAATGTCAGAAGGATTACCTTTTAACAAACGTTGTAATGCTTTTCTTTCATTTCAATTTGAGTAAAACATTGAAGATATAACATTGTATTGTTTTCTTTTTACACTGACTCAGATATAATGAAAAGACTACGCCAGTCGAAGCTCAGCTTTGGTAAGGAAGAGACAGGACAGGCAGAGAGAAAGAGAGAGAGAGAAAGTGATGGAAGTCAGGGAGGAACTGCAGGTACAGTCACACAAAAGAATGTAGGCTTAATAACCCCATCTATCTATCTATCTATTTATCTATAACAATAGTCTTCATTTACACTATAGACAATAGGCATCATTTTAAAACAACATATATCTATTGCAGTTATGATGTCATAATAACATACAATTGTATAAAACCCACACAATTTGCTTACATCTTTGTTCTCTTTTGAAAATCAAACAAAACAGATTTAAATAAAAAAAATAATGCAAACAAACAAGTGAAATGAACTAAATTGCTGAATTGCTTTTAATTCACTGGCAGGAGCGAGAAGTGAGAAGGAGCAACAAGTGAACAACGAGGGAGAGATTGAACAAAGAGAAAGAGTAGAGGACAGAGAGAGTAATGAACAGGAAGAAGACAGAGAGACTCAAGAAGATGGAAGAGAGGGTGCAGGTTATGGAAAGGAGAGAGACATGGAAAATTAATGTTGACAATGTTTTAGGATCATTTTAGCCTCTTCTGCATGTCCAGATCATTCATAGTAACAATCAACTGATTCTTATGCATTACACTTTCAAAAATAATTGATGCTGCAGCCCACTGACATGGTTTGAAATCAATATATTATCCAATTTGTGACCCCCCCACAGGACTTAAAAAGCACCTAACTAGATCATGAAAATCCCAAAAATCTCAGGGGGGGTATACCCCCGAACCCCCTTATCATGTTTGGACCTCGGTATTTATGAAATCCTGGATACGGCCCTGCTCATGATAACCTCATATTTTTTTAATTTAGGATCATACAGTACCTGTGTTTAGTCTAGAAAAAGGTAAATGTGTGCATTTTATTATAAAGTTGTGTATATTTACAGACTGTTGCAAAAACTAAGAAGCTTATAAACATCAGGTTTAAAACTAAAAGAGCTTTACAAAAAAGTAACACAATGAAAGATGTTTGGAGTTTTATTTGAGTTCTTAATTTACATTTTTTGTCTAAGAGACGCTGATTTGAAACCGTTGTTACATACAGTTACGGCATTTCCTGTTTCTGCCGGAGAGAGGGGAGTTTGTCCCAAAGCTTGCCGCTGTATTTACTCCCTCCATCTGACAGGAGGGAGCCTCGTTGAGCTGCAAGTGTGGCTACAGACGGAGTTCACTCCGCCACGGAGGGGTAGGGTCGAGGGAGTGGTTTGGGATTGGGCCCTACTTTTGAAGCTGAGGCGGAGGCGTCAGCCAATCAAATCCCGCGTATGCAAATCTGCCAGTACAAGCGCTAGCCAATCAAACCGCGTGTATGCTGAGAGAGCCAGACCGCAGTTCATTTCCTCATATGCCAAAAAATGGAGGAGAAAATAATCGTAGCGGTAGGGAATCACCCGGTGCTTTCAGTCCCTGTTCACCTGCCGGAGGAGCCAGGCATAGAGAGAGTGGGTGAAAACTGGTAGGTTTTCGCCTGTTTGGGGAGTTTATATCCAGTGTACTTCGTTTGAATGGACAGCAGGCATAGACAGTATATTTAGCCACCATGCAATGTTGCATAAAATAGCACCATAGACATTAATTAAAAATCGCTTTTTAGACATTAATGTCTATGGTGAGATTCATACACGGGAGCATTTTTAAAGCCTTTTTACCCCGCTGCAAACAGAACCCCCCCCCCCTTCTCATCACAAACTTTACACAGACCCACCCTTCCAATTATCAACTCCTGTCTTGTTTCCGTAAACTCTTGTGTTCTGCAGCAGCTAAACGTTTTGCAAGCCCCCGTTCGTTTAGTACCTAAAATAATAGACATCGCTTTTTCCAGCTGACAAACCCGACTTTCTGGTCACTTCTTCAATTTTCCAGCCCTTGGGGAGAGACACGGGAGATTCATGTGATTGGTTGTTGGTCGCGTTGCTCGCGTAAACTCCCCAAGCTCAAGACACGCCCACCGCCAAGCGGCAACGCACGCCGCCGTGTGTAGGCTGCGTTAGTTAACCTGAGACTAGGAAGCTGGAGAGGACATGCACAGTCCAATAGAGATGGCAAATCCGGATCCTTTTACGGACTCAGGGTCTTCTGAGTCAGTCATTGAAGAGATCCGGATCATACGAGTCATTTGAGTCATATGAGTCAGCATGACCAAGACCGTAGAAATCCTATTGGTGAAACCGAAAAGTTGTTGCATTTCACGAGCATATTATTATTCCATATATTTTGAATATATATATATAATATCTGCATGTATATTTTCTATTTCGACATGTATATTTTATATTTTATTTTAATTTCTATTCTTGTATATTTTTGTAGTTTTGTTTTATTGTAAAATGCCTTATGCTGCTGTAACAACAACAATTTCCCAATTTGGGATCAATAAAGTTCTATCTATCTATTAAACTGACGTTATATTAACCTCCGCTACACAGTGTATTTTGCTTTAATAAAAAATGTTGATCACAAAAAAAAGGGTTATTTTGCGATTTGGCAAATCTGAGTCTGCTGTTGACTCGTGCATGAGGACGAGTCTGCTGGATCTCTGGATCTGCTGCTATATGGCTACGGCTCCGAGTCCGCACGAGTCTGCTCTGCTGTGTGTTGCACACACAGTGAGTCAGGATTTGCGAATCCGAGTCTGCTGTGGACTCGTGCATGACGACGAGTCTGCTGGATCTCTGGATCTGCTGCTATATGGTTACGGCTCCGAGTCCGCACGAGTCTGATCCGCTGTGTGTTGCAGCGAGTCAGGATTTGCGAATCTGCGAGTCTGCTGTTGGAGCCGTCGGCTCCTCTGAGTCCCCACGAGTCTGCAGGAAGTTTCACTGATCCGCGTCCCCTCCCCTGAGCCAAACGATCACTTCTGGCAGCTATCCTACTTGCTAAAGGGTAGGCAGATGGACTTGGGGTACGTTGTAATGTGATTTTACATGTTATAAAGAGAGTAGCGAGTGACGCAATTTATAGTTTTAATTTGTACGTCACACCAAGTGTGGGACTCAAGGACTCGGGTTAATGGAGAGGGGAGACTCGTCATGACCAGCTCATTTCTAGGATCCGGGTTAATGATCCGGATGAATCAGGACTCGCCCATCTCTACAGTCCAATCAGAAGGTGACACTCTTCTCTTTTTGAGTGTAGCTGTTCTTTGCATCCACAGCTGGACAAAAAGCTCACTACACCATAATGTTATTTAGGAGTGAAAACCTGTGAGGCTGCTGTAGAAATCAAAACGTTTTATGAGCTAAAGGCAAACAGAAGAAACCCTCTCAAATCCCACTGCATCTGCCTTGAAGATTCTTCTCAACCTTAACCTGCAGCTCCTGTATCACTGATCTTAAATACAACATGGTTTATTCTCATCTCCATGCACAAACCCCAGCGAAGACTCTGCTCCCTCTAGTGGTGCAATAGAACAGTGCAGGAATGTGCACGTTGAATAAAGAAAGGGTAATGATAAAAATGACATTCCAGCTGAAGAGATGCATTGAGTCAGGCACTGAATACTTGCAGCAGAGAGGAGTAAACGCTGTCAGTGTTGCAATATAACTCACCCAGGGTGAAAATGTTATTTATTTTAATCTAATAAAAGGTCTGTTTTGAAAACAAACAAAATCAAAGATACAGAACATTTAAAAGATAGATAAATTAAAAGCAAACCATTTTCAAAAGTATATTTACACAATGTAATTACAGATATGATTAGTGCCGATACAACAGGTTAACTGTGTGTTGTCCAGTGTTGGTGGAACTCTTCACCACTACTTCATCAACAATCTCCATGGACTGGTCATCAGCAAGAACATACATTATTGTGGAATTTGTCACTTAGTATTTAAAGATCCAAACATGTCAATCAAAATGAAAAGAAGAATGAACACAATGAAGAACAGCCTGAAGAATCCGCAGCAGCCTGACTTGATGCTCCCCTGCATCTGTTGTGACCCACACAACTGTTGAGTTAAATGATTGGTTTCATAAAATCCTTACCTAAGAAATCAAAATCACATGATCAGACTGATAGTATACGTTTACAAAAGATGAGAGCATCGATGTCACAAACATGGATGTGTAGAGGGAATTGATACGGCGTTGGAGGCGGGGCCCTGTAAATTCATATCAAAGTTACTCAGTAGCTCATGAAGTCCAAACATGTGGACTGCTGGGTTTATTTGAGTATTTGTAATGGGAAGATCATTTACCCAAAAGGTTGCCCATCAAAGTCTCTGGAGAAATGCTATAAGGGGACCAATGGCCAAACAGCCAAGATCGGTTCAGAAGCCCTCTGCAGCCTTCGTTCATTCTTCAGCAGTCACATGCCATCAGGAGCGAGCACTGGCTCCTAACTCTGATGTCATTTTCTCTCACACTCAGTAATAATCTAAACTCACAAATGGGTCTTGTGTCACTAACACCAAGAACAACAGCTACATGGTTATGTTAGTGTACTGTAGTTAGCCAACTCAGAATAACATTAGCATTGGTGTTGCTCTAGCTAAAAGGAGCTAGCTCGACTTATATTGTAGCAGTTGTTGACCTTGCCAGTGCGATTTGTAGAGAGAGTAACGACAGACATCTGTTTTAAATGGAATAGCCTCAAGTAAACATGTCGCAGAGCAGCCAATAATAACCTGTGCACACAATTCATTTTGTGTTTTACAAGCACCCTCGCAGGTGAGAAAAAAGATGCCTTTTCGGACACTTTTAGGGTTTTACCTTTACTGACTACTGTCATTGTTGCATGTTTCATACTTTGCATATCTTAGCCTATTCATTACATATTGTTCTTACTGTACATATCTAGTGACGCCTATTCATATCAGTGCCTGAGCTGATTCATATCTTTCGCTTCGGTTTATTCTACATTTAGATGTATTCTATACTATTGCAGTGCCCGTTAGGGATCTGCTCCTGCTACTTAGCCCTCACATAGACCAGAGCTATTCAACTATATCCATATTGTTCAGGGTCAGAAAGCTAAGGGGCCTCGGACGGACATTTCCCCGAGCCATTATTCAGAGGAAGACAAATTAACCTACTCAACCTTTCTTTGGCCTTATGACCACCTTCTCTATTTCTAATGTGTATTAATTGGCTAGCAGTTTTGATACACACTTCAGATATAGCACATGAGCAAGATCTATGCCTTTTTTTCTTAAAAAGGGGAGAGAAATTAGCAAAATACAAAATGGCAGGGATTGTCCCTGTGCTGCCTGAGATTACTGTGACAGCATGCATGGTAATAAGTGATAGGCTTCTCTCTTTCCCCTGATGGTTGTTGCTGCTGCATGGGGATCAGCCCGCTGGCCACCAGTAGAATAGACGTCCTATAGTGGCTGCTCCATTTTGTATTTGAATGAGCTCTAACCAAAGTCCAACTGTGCAGATCAGGTATCGCACTTTTCTAAAGAACCACTGATCCAAATCACTTCTTACAGTAAGTCAATATGTTTTTTTGCACTTCTGGTTCATCTTTAGATCCTGAACAGCTTTTGTTGTTTCAGCACATGTACTCAGTGCACTGACAACGAGCGCAGTGGTGGAAGGTAAAGCAGCATTTGCTGTGCTTGTTTCTGTGATTCTCTCTACATACAATTAGGATGGGAGACATTATTTTATATAATGGCAGCTGTTTGTCCTACTTGAATGTATGCAATTAAACTGACCCTTGGAACTATGTAGCAATACATGTACCACGTGGCAGTGAGATGTGTCCCAACTCTCTCTTTAAAAGGCACTGGAGCGTACGCACTTCAGAGTGGCACGGGGGGACATGATTGGCTGGAAGGTTAGAGGGCGCGGAAAACACCACTGTCATAGCAAATACTAGTCATGCGAATATGAACTAAAAACAATGACTTTAAGAAGAAGAAAAAAGGCATTTTGAAATAAAAATGACTATCTAATACATACAAAATAACATTAATAATGAAACACCATTTAAAAATAATGAGATGAGTTTCAACTATCTCATCAAATATTTCCCAAATTATCAGTTCATTCATATATTTTACACAATATATTCATATTGTTTTTTTATCTATTCAATATTGGGCTTCAGAGTGTACTGTGTGGGACAGGCACGTGAGACATGATGAAACAGGAACAGGTATGGCTTCAGTTTGGTTTCTGTCTGAACTGTTGCAGTGCAGATTATTGAGCCCGACATGTCAGTGATGTCTGCATTTATAGACAGTACATGACTTGTGCTAAACTAAAGGGCAATAGGGAGATAATATATGTATATGTAAAATATGTAAGGTTCCCCTCTGTGGTACGAATAAAGGTATTCTGATATTCTGAGGGTGCAAAAATATAATGTTGTGCTGATATATGAGGCTAACAGTGGCCTTAACTTAGATATTGTCTATCAAGCACTAGCCAGTGTTCACCATACCTGATGATTACCTTAATCAGAAATACTGTATTATTTTATTAAGTTAGTATTTTGTGAGAAACAGCTTTTTGCTCCCTTTCTATATGTTCAGCTTAACTTGAATGGGTGCCTTTCAGAAACACGACAGTCTTCACTCCAGTGCACCCTGTTCAAAACTCAAGTATTCTAAGGCTGTGGCTGGTCTAATGAACCCCGTTGAGGATGTGATTGCGCAGCAGTTCCTGATCCTGGTTGTGCAGGGTGGGGTTCACGTCCTCGTCCCTAAGCCGGGCGTTCTTCCTGATCTCCTCCAGGGTGTAGTCCTGCACCAGGCTGCCGTTCTCATAGACGGTCACCAGCAGGTCCTGAAAACACAGAGAAATCAGTTTAGACATGTTAACTGCAAAGCTGTTAAACATCATGCATGCAAATTAGTCGCTTTTCGGCGCCTCCCGCTTTTTCAACGCTGATTTGAGTGACTTGTGTAATTCGTGGAGAACCGAAGACTTTTCGTTTTGGGGGGGGGGGGGGTACGGACTGACCGCAAAATAATTAAACAAGCGAGTGCCTGTTTTTCCTGGCCAAGGACAGGTTCCTTGAACACAACACGAGCGTAACGTGTCATCACGTGGTGTATTGCTGACTGAGAGCACTTCAAATATTGCAGTACCCATAAGGAGCCGTACACATGCCGCAGTTTTTGCGTGGCTGTGTCTTTAGTTGTAAGCCCAGTGGCGATTTGTTGTTATTAGCATCTGGTTAGCTAGCTATGCTAACGAATATAAAGAGCTTTTTCTACAACCAGGTGGAAGAGAGCTCTCTCCTGACAGACTGAGAGGCTCTGATAACCTCAGCTCAGTGAGGTAAAGGCACACCTTGATATGATCATTATAAAAAAACAAGAGAATAAAGTAAACAGGTATAAAATACTATATAACAGTAACAGAAAAGTTGTTATTAATAAACAAGAATACAGTTTGAAAGGGGAGTGATTTGTAAAATATCCATAAAGAAAAAGAAATCTGCTTACAGGTCTGTTTCATATGGTGTTGAGAGATGTATCCATAGATCTCTTCATGTTGCTCTCAAAGTGCACCAGATTGATGCTTTTAACGTCCCCCCACTTAAATGATGTCCACATGGATAGGAAACTAAATACATTTGCACACATCTTGCGTCCATATCTTTCTGTTGTGGTGGTCATGCCACACCGTGCACGTGCATGCATGCGCGAGTCATGGTGAGATATCTGGATTGAGAGGTTGCTTTTTCTTTGCACAGCATGAAAGAAAGGCCAAATGAATTGGCTGTGATTTTAGTATTTTTAAGCAGAGGTCAATAATTTGTACGGGCCCCCGGAGGATGTTGAAAAAATTAAAATGTCCCTTGAGAGGAAAAAGGTTCCCCACCCCTGATGTAAATAATAATAAAAACCCTTAATTTATAACTTAACATCTCTGTCTCCTATTGATCTGAGTATATTATAAAGAATAGCCAGTTCATTGAAGCATTATAGCACAGGCTGTTTTTGTTCTGCTTCGAATAGTTCTCTCTTTTTTCACCATACGTGTGTTTGCATCCCTGGAACATATACGGGCTGTATAAAATGTTATAAGGGGATGGAATAAATCAACTTTTTTTTGTTAAAATGTAACTTGTAGTTGTGTTCAGATACTGTTTTTGTCAAATGTTTTGCAATACAATGTGATGCTATATCATGTACTCTGTGTCTGTGGAGAAGCTTTGTTGATCTGAGAAAATAAGTCCAGCCCCTGATGTACAGATTCTGACCACTTTTTTAAATGTCTCTCTTTTTTTCAACCAACAACTTATGAAGGACCAATTATATGGAATCATTTTTGGAGAACACAACACTCACAATTTCAACTATGTAATCTGAAGAAGTTAAAGTAAGGGAGGAGGTGTAGAAAATAAAGACGGGCCCTATGGTGGGCTGACAATGAATGCACATACTTCACATTCAAAATGGATCTGGATTGATTCACATTGGGCTGCACTTTCTCATTTAAATAAAGTGCAGTGTTTTCACTTCCATGTGGCTAATGTTTGAATCAGGGCTGCACCAGAGGGGATTCTGTACCGACAACCAGCACAGGCATGGCCAACCAGACCGGCTCTGGCTTTCAGAAGGTGGGGGGTGTTGTACAGCTCACTGTCGGGGCAGAGCCACCGTCACACTAACCAACCTTCTACACCTTTTGAGAGCATCTGCTCTCTGTTGGTTATAGTTTATCAGATAGCATCTTGATGTTATCAATTTCACATTTATTTCTGTGGACAATGAGAAAGACAACTGTCAACACCTGGATGTATTACTATTTGTAGTAGAGATGCCCCAATCACATTTGTTGCTGCCAAAGTGATAGTTTTTGCTGTTGTTAATTATATTTTTACAAGATTACATTTGAACACATCATGACAATGACATGGTTTACTTTTGGCCAATTCTAATTTTAACAAAACAGATGACTTGACTCAATGACATCTATATAGGCGTTAATGTTATTATAAACACGACATGTGCAGCTCAGACAGTGAGGTGACTAGATCGATCACTCACTCACTCACTCACTCACTCACTCACTCACTCACTCACTCACTCACTCACTCACTCACTCACTCACTCACTCACTCACTCACTCACTCACTCACTCACTCACCTCCTCCGGCTTGCCTGCTCCTCTCTCTATTGTCTCTAGCAGGCCGTCAGAGTTTCTCCTCAGCAGCAGTCGGCCCCTCTTGGAGCCTTTGGATGGGTCGGTCACCGGCTGCTTGTAAACGTCCATCTGGTAAACACATGCAAACTAGTTAAATAAACTCCACATGCTTGTAAGAATATAGAAAAACAGTCTGTGTGAGGATTTCTGTGTCTGTGGTATTTGTATGGATGTTCTTTGAAATTCCTCTTTAATCAACATATCTAATATAGATAATGTAATATTAAAGGTCATGGTTTTCAGCAAAAAAGTGCTTTATTACAGAGCCCCACAGGCAAGTAGGAAGGACAGCAGCTTTACGGTAGACAATTACTTTATTTCCCAGAGTCTTGATTTTGTAGTTTTGCCATTAAAACCGCTTCTTTGATGAAATGGATGACCATAACAGAAATGATCAAAAACACTCTTTCTAAGTTCTTTAGTGATTGCATTAACTTGCCATTTTTGAGAAACGTGTCCGATTAGACTGTTGTTTTTATTGTGTGCCTCACATGCCTTCATTTAGTCTATAAAGTTCATAATTTTACCGGGCATATTAATCTGTTGGAGATCATCTGTTAAACTCAGTTAATGCAGTTTGAAAATCTCCCCCCCCTACATACCCCCTTCCCGTCAGTCTCCACATAGCTGCACTTGAAGGCACAGCTGAGTGTGTCTCTGTTGAGCTTCTGGAGCAGGGAACTGCCACAACCAAAGAAGACGTTCTCAGCACTCCAGCCTTCATCACTCAGCTTCGTGAGAATCTACAGGAAACAAAATAAAATCGTTAAGTTTTGTTTACTTCACTTTTTATATAAATATTTGGAGAAGGACAGTGGAACTTTAAGTGTTTTGTAGTCAAGATAACCGCAACAATGTGTCTTTTAAAAGGATAGGGTTGGCCATTTAAAATATACAATCCTTTTTTTCAATAATTGATTGGACTATGACAAAAAAAACTTGTATATATTTAAAGTGGGTTTCAACAGAGATATGCTCTGTTGTAAAGAAAATCATACCATTTGAATACAAACAAAAAAAGGAGGACAAATAACCTTGTTCAGAGTTTGTGCCATTATTTGTCTGAGTTTTGCCTATCAGCCTTTGTGCTGAGGTCTGGGATACAGTGATTACCTGAGTCACAGTTTCATAGTAAGAGAGCAGACGGGTTAGAACAACCTGAAAACTAAATCATCTTCCATCCTCTGGGCTGGGCTACCAGTGTTTGGAACTGCCCAATCCCAACAATGAACCATGCGAGTACCTTGTACAATTTAATCATGACCAACAGGATGATGGTCGGCACTGCCATTTTCCCCCAAAACTAATTTGAAGAGTGTCAGTTTGACTGTAGATTATTCAAATGTTTCAGTTTTTTTTATCTAAAAAAAATAGTGAAAAGGAGTGCAAGCCTGCTATGCTGTCTGCAGCAGAAGATTTAACTGGGACTGTTTTTGTTACAAAAAGCTGAGTTGGTGATCAAAAAGGTACAACTCAACGTCCAAAAGGAGGGAATATAAGGAGAATATACACTAAATAAGATGTGAAAGAAAAGTCAAGATGAACCCAGACCAGTATGACACCCAAACGTTTTCTCACCTCTTCCACTGAGATGAGGTCGATGCCGTCTCCCTGAATGATCCGCAGGTAGGAAGGCAGAACCTTGAATCCCACAGAGTTCAGAGAACAGCCAAAACGCTCCTCAAGAATCTTGATGACCTGAAAGTGGCATTTCAATGGCTTTATTTTGGAGTTACCACACACGTTGGTATCCAAGTGGACGCAGTAAACATCTTACAACAACGATAATCAGCAGCGAATATTCGGTGTGCGCTTCAACACGTGCATTTCGGTTTATTCAAGGCATTCATTTTGTTATTCTACAGCAGGGGTCTCCAACCTTTTTTAGGATGAGAGCTACTTTAAAAAAATAAAACAAGTCGTGAGCTACTTTTACTCCTCTTTTTTTGTTTTTTGCAGTGTATATATTTAGCACATTTTAACATTATTATATGCTTACCTTTGTGTGCTGTTTTTTTAAACTTGTTTATTCTTATCTTATGTTACCTAGTTAGCACTTTTCTTTCTATTTATGCATATTTTTCTAATCACTCCCCTTTTAAATACAATCTAGTCTCTCTCTCTCTCTCTCTCAGAGGCTGTGTGCTCCTCCGTGGCGATGACGGCTTGCGTTAAAAAACATATTTGTAAAGTGGGGGGACACAAACGGGATTTCGAAAAGTGGGGGGGACTGTCCCCAGTGGAAATTACGCCATGCGTGTGTGTGCGTCAAGTGCAATAAATAAATATGCAAGTTGCAACACACACAGTAAAACTCTGCCCCTCATGTGTTGTATAGGCTGGCATGATAGGCTGTTCAATGGGGCTGATGTGTTGTGTAGATTCTGCCAGGAGGAAAGGTTCAACTCCTTATGAAGCGGTGAGCTGCCGCTCCACATTGCTTTTCTTCCCGACTGCAACGCTGGTCCCGCAAATCAAGCAAGAACGTGATTGGTCGATATTCATTGTGGGGGTGGGAGGAGGGGTGTTAGATAGATATAGAGTTGTAGTAAGTAGATAGACTTCGCTATGATTGAGGTTTCGTTTATGCATAGGGTAGATTCTTTTAATTACATTTCCTTTATTTTTGGTGTATTTTTTACATTTTGGATTTGCTTTGGCGAGCTACTTATTGAGGGCTTGCGAGCTACCGGTAGATCGCGATCGACGTGTTGGAGACCCCTGTTCTACAGTATTGTTGTTTTATAGTTATTTTTTAATGTAAATAACCCAATTTATGTTCTTTGAAATTGAAAAGGATATTGTGTTTGTTACTTTTGTTGCAGTTGTATATATATATGTCTTAAGTGTAATTTGGCTTGGCTTCCTATTTTGTATGGACATGCTTTTATTTTGAAGGCGAGTTAGCGCTGTTGACAGGAAGTTGTTGCTATGGAAACAACGTGACGGAGAAAAGGAGCAGAGATTAACGGAGCAAAGTCATATCTACATATAAAGACGGAGAAAGTAAAGGATAACGTTTATGGTTAAGTGTCAGCACCCCCGGAAGAGGCACAAGCTCTTACGTTGATATTGGAGATTTCAATAAATTCAATTTTAATTTGAATTTTGAAAAAAAAAGAAGAAAAAAAGAATATCCGAATAACGAAATTGAAAACCGAATAGTAGGCCAACGACTGAATATTAGGATATTCGGGTACAGCCCTAATATGCGTTGACTTTATTTTTGAATATCAGATCTCTGCAACCGGCTATAGTTTGCCGGCTTAGTGAGCGTGTGTCTCTGATCCAACCGTGAGCTGTACACCGCAGCCCCCCCCTCTGGACCTCGCTGCGGCTCCTCACTGCAAAGAGTCGGCAGCGGTGCCGCCAAAACACCCGAGCCGTTGCAGCAGTTGCTTTAGGATTTGGCCTCATATATAGCCCTTATGGTGAAAATAATGATGTCCTCGACACCCCACCCCCCAACCACAGAGTGCCCCCACATATCGAATCCTAATTGAATCCGTGCTAGTGATCGATACAACGGGGGGAAAGAAGACGAAAAGTTAAATGAGATGTTAAAAGACATGTTTTTTACAGTTTTTAAAACGTTTTATTGGATTATTTAATTTTCAAGACTAATAGTTTACTTATACTATTACTTCTTATAAAAATGTATATAGTGTTATTATATTGTAGGAGCCATAAAGCTTACTTCGTCTTTGTTTATTATTTGTATTATCATTATTTGTTTACACCAAGTTAATTTGTAATTGTTTATCAATTCACTGGCAATTGTCACATGGGTGTGGTTTATTGTGCTTAATGCACCGGTTATATGTCTGGATTTGTGGAAAGATGGGGGTGAGCTAGGTTCAGACATTTTCTGTTTACCCGTAGGGTCCTGCTTTAGTTATTGTTTGCTTTATTTTCTTCATTAAACCAAATTTCAGAGCCAAATGTAGCCTCGTGGGAGTCACACCCATACTTTGGTGTAAAAGTGTGTAAGAAGATTGCAAACTGAGGGGCTGTAAAACCAAACTAGTCCTACATTATTCTGGTGTCCCTTTTTCCCATTATTTAGTGTGTATAAAGTCTGAGCATTTTTTTTTATTTAAAAAAAAAAAAAAAAAAAAAAAGGAAAGACGGCAATAGGTGGATCTTTTGGAAAGTAAAGTTGGGAGTATTATGCTCCGAGTATGAAGAAGACAGAAGTCCTTTGAGATTCCTCTCAGACCTCTCATAATAAACTTCAGTCTTTCTACTTTAGGTTTAGAGCTCAAATTAGAATGACAACTTCAGTGTGTGTTTCACCTCGATGAGGGTCTCCGCGGGGTCTCCAGAGTCTGGCCTGATGACCAGGCAGGAGTCCTGGCTGCGCTCCATCACGCGCTCCTTCAGCTCGTCTCCCCAGATGTGTTTACAGGCGTGAAAGATGTCGTAGCTGTCACTGACTACAGACACCGGCCCTGAGGAGAACTGGTCCAGGACTCGCTCAAACGCCTCCTTCTCTCTGTTCCTCCCCCAGGAGATGATGGTACTGCATTACAGGAAGTAATGAACACGGTCAGTGGGGCTGGAAATACTCATGCTAGTTCTTCAATTTGATGTCAATGTCATTAACGGTGTTTCCTCATATGTGACCTGCTCTATCGAAATCAGTCGCATTGACCCGAAGACACATTTTGAGTCGTATACACTGTTGGAAAGAGGAGATTCATAGCTTTCTAATGATATCAAGATTTTTGTTGTACTCCAAATATTAAGCAAAATATGTCACATTATATAATGACTGTCACCGAGTCATCATTTTGAGAAAAAGGCCTTCAAAGTTTCCTCTTCTCTGGAATCCATCGATCTGATTGATTATTAGCGGAGCAAATGATCAAAATACTACAGAGGGAAAATATTTCCGTTTGGATTACTGGTGTGGGGGAAGCTCGCGAGTGTGTGAGTGTGTATGTGTGTGTTTGTGTTTTTTTGCATTTGTGTATATTGTGTTTGTCACCCGGGGAAAACACTCACGAGAAACACCGGCTGTTGTTATGCCTGCTGTGACGTTAAGTTACTCCGTTCTCCGCTTGTAATTATGCCGTTACAAGCTTCAAAGTTGTATTTATCATCTGAATTTGCCGAAACAAGTTTAATATTCTGAAAGCCAAGACTTTGTTTATTTGAAATCAGATGAAAACAAACTGTAACGGGCCCTGCCGTGTTATCTATGATTACTATACGCCTTACATTCATAATTTCAGCCGGAGGGAGGGGGGGGCGGCGCTGCGGAAGAGCAGATTGCGAGTGAGAGCCGTCATCTTCCCTTTACAAGCTTCACAAATGTATTTATCGTGTGATTTTGGAAATAAAAGTTTCATATTCTGAAAGCCAAGACTTTGTTTATTTAAAATCAAACAAAACACCCGAACCCCGAAAAAATAGTTTTTTACGCAAATCCACGTTTATTTTGAAATGAGCCGTTGCGACTTCCGACTGATTTCGATAGAGCGGGTCACATATACAGTCAACGACTAATACAATATTAAACAGTTCATGAAGGATATTTTTTTGATTAATTATGATGTACACTTTGGAGTGCAAGATGCACTTGTATGGTGGCAAGAAAAAGTAAGTCAATCCTTTGGAATAACCTTCATTTATGTATAGATTTGTTTGTTATTTTAAAAGGTCTGATCTTCACCTAAGTAAGAAGCTTCACTTCTTCACTACCAGCGCTGCTGACGTTTAATGGGTGTGTTCAATAAAGATATGAAAGATTATTAATGTTTGTGTGTTATTAACTTAAGCACATTGTGTTTGTCTGTAATTGCGACTTGAATGAAGATCAGATCACATTTTATGACAAATTCATGAATAAAATCAGCACGTTCCAAAGGGTTGACATACTGTCATACATACTGTGTCTGTGTGTTATACCTGTGCTCTGCTGCTGGAATGGAGAAGCCGGCCATTGGGCAGCTGTAGTAGCGCTGAGCCATCAGCAGCCCAGCCACGGTGTCTGTACTGCAGAAATTAACCAGGTGGGCCGCTCCACCCAACGCTGCAGACTGGAGAGAGGAGGTGGAGGTAAGGAATCACTTTACTGCTCAAATGGTTTTCTTCCATTTCATTCAAAACAAGTCGCCCTTTAAAAAGGTTCATAATTCAGCAACCATCAATCAGAAACAGGAAAATGATATCCAGTTTGTTTCTGTGGATTTGTTGTTGTTGTTAGAGAGTACACTCAGTTCAGCTTGAGGAACGATTGTCAAAGAGTTATTTTTTGCACTCAGCAATTTTGCACTCAGCAATAACTGTATTATAAACACTGCTTTGACACTCCTCTGCCTCCATGTTGTTCAACAACTGCTGCCTGGTTTTAAAAAAATGTCACGTCAAACTTTCAGTTGAAAGCCGGTCCTATAAGAATTTTATTTTAAAATCCTCTTAAACGCTGTTCAAGAGATTAATAACCAACTTTACATTCCAGCTTCATGCATATTATGCAACACTTTCCTTCTGACTTTCATTTGAGTTCTCTTAATCTAACCTTTGTGCCTTTAATCAGTAATGGGTCCACTAAGCCCAACAACAATTCTATATCGGCAGCATGACACAGCCATAAACACAAAGTAGATATCACAAGATGATCATTTGGTACATTTTCTGTGGAAACACAAACCAGGTACATGGAACATTATGAAAGGAATTCCAGGGGTTCTCGTATCCTCAGTAACAGTGACAGTGATTATAAGGAAATGATCTTAGTGTAAACCTAGTACCTGTACATACAGTACAACATTAGAAGGGGCATGGTGCAAGAGACAGGAATACAATGAGAAACTCTGTTAGCGTATCACTAAAGGAAAACAGGGGGAGAGAGTGTTGCTGACCTCCTGTGAGGAGACCCCTCTGTAGCCAAAGTCATGCAGTTTCAGGTCCAGACCCTCCAGGCTCCCGGAGGTGGCCTTCAGGTGCTTGGCCAGGATCTTCTTAAACTCCCTGGAGATGGTGGCTACTGTGATGGGATACCACATCTGGACCAGCATGGTCTATAGTTGACAGAGGGGGATTAGGGGGTTATGGGTTTTGGAGAGAACAGATAGTGAGTGGGAAATATAAAAGATGCCAGTTGTTGCAAAGAAAGAAATGGAGGATACAGTGACAGTGCTGCTAAACTGATCAGCTGTCAGGTCCAAAGGTGTCTACCTAACACATTAACTATCTAAGCCCCTATTTAGAGACGTTTTAAACAAAGTGCTGGTGAAAGGTTCCAAGGAGGGCAACTGGCCCACTAAAGAGTCCAAAATGTTTTACCTTAAAAGTAATTAAAAAGAATACTAAGAACTGCAGTACTTTTCTTAATTTATATAGGTCAATATAAAAGTTAACATCAAGAGGTCTTTCCTCCTAACATTAACAGTAAGTAGTGGTGAAAAGTAGGTCCTTGTTTTGTAAATGGATCTGTGGCACACTGTGGTTTACCTCAATGTAGTTGGTGAGCCAGTAGAAGTCTGGGTCAGTGTTTTCCACGGTGAAGAGCACGTTGCCTCTGGGAACGATCCTTCCCTCAGGGACAGCTTTGATCCGGATAGGAAGACGGCCATTGTGTTTCTGACGTAGTAACAAGCACATTTACTTCAGGATGGATGTATAGAGATCAATCTTCAGCTGAAAATATTTTTGTATTAAACTGTCCTTTTTACAGAATTATTGATTCATTCATGTAATCATCACGTTCATTTTCCCACTGGAAAATATAGAGCTCATTCTAATGACTTGGTATAATGTTGGATGTTTTATCTGCAGTATCTTTAGAGCAGAGATCCTCTGAGGAGGGTGCAGGATAGTAGTAATATATCATTGAATTGTTTTTCACTTTGAATAAGGTTAATCTCTGGCATGATGATTTCAGTGCTTCAGTAAATGTATATATAAATGTACTTACTTTGTTACATTTCACCACTAAAGGGTAAGGGTAGGGTTTCTGCTGGGTAAGGGTGTGATTAATAACTATGGACAACTGAGGGCAGGCAATTATTACTGAAGTTCCAGTAACCACTGTATGTGTTGAAAATATGCTGTGTGGGCAACTGTAGCTCAGGGGGGTTAGTCCACTGATCTGCAAATCATGGGGTCAGCAGTTAGATCCCACCTTCTGACAACATGTGTCCTCAGGCATACAATTGCAAGCCCAAATTGCTGCCGTAGGGGCAGTCTACAGTATTAAGTGTATTTAAGTTGCTTTGGATAAAAGCGTCAGTTGATAATAATGTAATGTGTATATGATGTCTGCCACTTTCATAGTAACTGTTATAGATGCAATAGGCCACTTCCAGTGATTTACAGTGATTTTCAAAAGCTCTGCGTCATGCCTAGCAGCGCCTCTTAGCTGTTGTGAAGTCACTGTAAATCATAGCTTCTTGTGGCTTATTGCTTACTTTAAGTATACCTCAAGGACTTTCCTCCAGCTCTCCTCATCAAACACAGACTGTTTGAAGTGCATCTGGTAGAACAGCTTGGCTTCTTGAATCTTCTCCTCTGTGATGACTTGGCCTGAATAGAACACACCAGGTTACTACAACCTCGCTCACATGCAGGAAATAGAAAGGATTTACTCAACATCCAGAAAACTGGCAAGCCTGCGCTACGATCACCTTATATGAAAGTGTACCAGTTTAGCTCCTGTTTGTTTCCACATAAGGTTGGATTTATTCAAACATTGGGTACCACTTTACAATAAGAGTACCCTTATAAAGGGTTTACCAATAGTTTGTCATTCATTTATTAATTAGGTTGTGAACACTTTATAAATCATTAATAAGCTTTTATAAGACATGAGATAAAAAGGGCAACTGTGACCGGTTGCTTGACAAATAGTGAGCCCACATTTATCAGTACTACTAAGTCTTATATTGGCTACTTAGCTTACTTCATCTTCTTCTTCACCAGCATCCTTGGTGTCTGTTGCTCACTGAGTTGATTCTCGCTAAGTAGCCAATCTTGCCAAATAGTGAGCCTGTGTTGATGTATGAAAACTATGTTAGAACTGGTTTATAAATGGTTCTTAATGATTAATAAAGTGTTTACAACCTAATTCATAACCTAATTATAAACCCTTTATGAATCCGTTATAAGGGTAGTCTTATTGTAAAGTGGTACCGAACATTGTAACTGACATGTTAGGGGTGTGGACAGCATGTGTGCAGCAGTTTAAACACGAGGCACTGCATTCTCTCATGTTCTTGTTAACACTCATTATCATTTCTCTCTTCTTTCCTATATTGTTCTGTCAAATCATTTCTTCGATCAAAGGGGAGGAACGTACCTAGAAGGTATTTCTTCAGCAGATACTGAAGGCCAAAGAACACACACTCACTGAACTGTGAGCCTTTCTTGCGTCTGCATTCAAAGTAAGAGTAGATTTTGCTGACATTTGGAGGATACTGCTTGTAGTGTGTGATCTGAAAGACACAAAACAGACATGTCAAGCATATTTAAATGATTTGAAACACGTGCAATGTAAGTCTCATGACGTAATTAACCCTTATTATACGAAATACTAATAAATCACTTTATCACACCAGAGTTGTATTGTAAAATGGAATCAAATAAAACTCCAGTATGCACACCAACAAGCTGAAAAGCATAGGAGCGTCTGCGTAACGTGATGTCTGCGTGTACAGTGAACATGTTTCCTGGATCCACGTGGGAACATATGACGACAGTTTGAAGTACAAGTCTCTCTTTGTGCTCTTACAGCTCTAATTGAATAATCAACAGCAACAACCAGTCAGTCACTGGCTCAATTAGCTTCAACAATACATTCTTCTGCTTCATCCTATCCCCCATTTAACTTTCTGCTTATTTTCCCCTTTTCTATCTTCAAGAGAACAAACCCAGAAACACTTAAGTTACAAAACGGGGAAACTCAGGCCTCTTCACTGGAAGCAATATTAAGAGTAGTCATGTATAAGATTACAATACCATTATTTAAGTGAAAGGAAAGTCGAGGAGAGTAGAAAAGTAGTATTTGAATGTCTTTTATTGAAATGAGCATTGCAAAGTCAACACATGATGTTCTTGAAAAGTCATTTTTTGGCATGTCAGTGTTTCTATATTTAGGGAATCCTGGCCAACCAGAGGAGTCACATGAGCTATAGAGTCCAAGCTCCTTTTGGTGTTAGTATGGAGTATGACATGGTGGAGGGGTACTTTCACCTATTCTCATAACGTGTACATGAATGACTAAGACAGACTCTGGAACTCCCTGCCACTACATATCCCACAGTCTGATTCCATAACAACATTCAAAACCCAACTCAAAACCCACCTGTTCAAACTGGCATTCTCATTATGAACTGTACCCTGTGTCTTTTTGTGTCTTTTTGTAGTCCATTTCCTGTTGTTTGTCTTGTTTCACCCCGGCTGACATTTCATTAAATCCACGGTTTTAATGTTCCCTATATTACCCTATGCCCTGTAAGGTGTCCTTGGGTGCTATGAAAGGCGCCCCCCAAATAAAATGTATTATTATTAATCTGACCAACTAAGAGGATTTAAGAATATCTGTATGGTCCGTAAGATCCTGATGAACCATTTCATTTAAACCGATGCCAAGAACTGCTGGATTTTAAAAGCTGCTAAAGAAATGAATATACTGTTAGCCAAATTAAAGATGTAGACCACATTGTGTAATTGTATTTAATATTCCTATTTCCAATGCACTCGTTTACTGCGGTTATCCATAAACAGACACAAAAAAAAACCGCTATCTTGTTCAACATAGCCATTGTTTGGTGTGAGCAGAAAACTAATTTTAGAGTTAAATGACCACAACAATTTATTTGTAGTTAACTTAGGAAACTTTGCACATTTAAGTGTTGAAGTGTTTTTTCAGTTGTTTGACAAATCACATGGATGGCACAACGCTGTATTGTTGTACTTTATATTTGTCCTACATTTCCTATTGAAAATGTTTTGCGCTGGTCTGGGTGTATTTAGCTGAAAGAAAGATATCAAATGCAATACATTATTACATCTTTTTTTTTTAGAAACACTAGGATAGTGGATCTGATCAATCTTGCTTATGTGCATATGAGATTGGATCTCCTTTCAGGACTGGTGGCACACTGAGTGGCATGGCCACTCCATGGAACCTGTTTTCGAGGTGCAGAAAGGATGATGTAACCGGCGGGACATCCTCGTCAATATTCACCATGTTCTTTTGAAGAGGTCACACCTACAGGTGTGGTTAAATAGTTTTACATTTGCTGCCGACCTGAGGGTGAGCTTGGTGTTACAGGTTAACTTTCCCTTTTTACTATGTAACTGTGTTTACATATGTTTGTATATCCCTGGGGATGTATTCACAACATTTTTGAGAATAAGCTGATTGAGCTCCGAATAGTGGCACTTGGCCTAAAAGTGAGTCGAGGCTTCGAAGTGAAACCCTGAAGAAGAGACAGAAACCTGATCGAGTCAATCCCAAAATGGTTCAGATTCTTGTCTTAAATATCTGATTTCTTGTCTTAAATATCTCATTATATTATTTGATATTGATGAAAGAATCCTGTGGCTGTGCTGCTGCTATGGACATAGTTTCAGGAGTCGTTGTTGCTAATAAAAAGACTGTTTGGTCATCATCCAGACCTTTGCCATTTGGCTGCAGTGCAAACCTTTGAATGACATCTAACAGTGACATCTGACATTTAACTCTACTGAGCCGCGCAGAGGCTACTGTGTAGACTAACACAGCATGCCCAAGCAGTGAACTGACTCACATCTCCATTTAGATTCAAAGTTGACTAAAGTGAAAATTAAAGCTAAATGGCAATGTTGGACTCTCTGAAACACAAAACGACACCTTACTGCATTGTAGTAAAAAGGGTTTACATATGGATGTAATTGCGTAATTGAACACAGTTTCTATCTTTTAATGCTGCACATTAAGAATGAAAGACACAGACTTTAAACGGAGACGGAACGGGTGTTATCCGCTACAGTTCCCTATGGCCGTAACGGAACCGCGGAAACGGAGCCCTCAAACGATAACGTGTCCCAAGGTGGGTAGATCTGCGGACGGAACGCTCTGGGGGGTCAAATGGCTCCGTGTATACGCCCTATACGCCATAGCCCCGCCTCTCCCCGTTCCGAGTGTTTCGAGCCAGGTCCCGGTATCTCGCAGGACAGTGCACCCAGCAGGAGCCTCCAGCAGAACCCCCCCGCACGGCAGAGTTTTCGTTAGCCGGTAATTACCGGACTATGACCGGTAAAATATGCTGAAGACCGGCAAATCTAAATATCTCCGGTCAAAATGTTGCTTATGTTTAGGTGTCCTTTGACACACAGGCTAGAACTAGCTAGATTTGGTCGATATGGACATACACGCGAGTGAAGTCTAATCGGACAGGAGAGAGAGATCAGAGATCAGCTGCTGCTGACGGAGACACGCAGCTCTGCATGATCACCTGCAGCTCTGCCCGCTGTGATGGAGCGGCGAGCGGAGCAAAACACACACTTCAAGTTAGATCATCACCCTTAGCTATTTTAATTACCTCTCAAACTACCTAAACTAGTTATAAATATGTTTATTTTTACTCATTACTGGATCAGCCAGCTGCATGAGACGGATACTGACGGGCTGTCAGGAGAGGGGGAGGAAAAGAGAGACTCCGTGTACTATTCTTATATTATTATATAGAGTCGTTATCAATTTGTTTTAAAGCTCAATAAATAACAAAGAAGACCTTTGACCGGCACTTTTCTAATTTTGTCTGGAAGATTTAAACTTTAACGAACATGTTGACCGGCGGAAAAAAACGGAAACTGCCGCACGGTTCCCTCGTCCCTTGGAAGAGGCGGGTGTTTTTCATCTGCTGGTGGACTACCGGGGAGAACGACCTGCTCGGGAGCCAGGCTCAGAGTTAGTGGCAATGGGTGCGGTGCACCTGCCTTTTACACACGCTCGCCTCGGGGAGGGAGAAAAAGAGAAACAGAGGCCGCCGAAACAGCCAGAGCCCTGCCTCTCCCCACCTCTGCTGCTCACCCAAATCTACAGCTCCTCTACCACAACCATCAGCAACAAGTGGACATGGAGAACTACATGAACTACATGTTGCTAAATCCACCGCGGAGAATAAACAGAAGGGCAACCAGGGGGAGGTCTTCTTCGCTGCTTTTGGTGTATTTTGTGGCGGAAGTACAGCGCCACTTACAGGCGGCATATGTACTACAGCGTCTCCAGCGGTCTCGTGTGGAAGGACACGTTTATTGAGCCGATTGCGTGTGGACGGAACACTTTTTTGATATCGAATTCTGTTCGTTTTTGTTTCCTTGTAAAAGGAGCCTTAAGTGAAACTGAGAGCTAAACGGTAAATGAAAGGCGGAGCTTTCATGCAGAAACTACACTACGATGTAGAAGGAAATGTGGGGATTACTGGTTATGCAAATTCAAGAATCACCAAATAAGTATTCTTACTTCTTAGCCGTGTACTGGATTATTTAAGCAGCCTTGAAAAATAGGGTTAAACAAATGTATGTCCTTGCCAAGTTCCTCTCAGGTAGTTTCATTTTTGTTTAAATGCAGTGGTGTCAACCCCTACAATAGAGAGGTAAATATTGTACTTTGACTCAACTACATTACCTTTAGTTACTTTACAGATATGGATTAATGATTAAAATAAATATGATCAACTTCTAATCAAAACATATAATATATATATACATTCTGAAATGGGCCAATCTGCATAATGAGTACTTTTGGTACTTTAAGAATATTTAGATGCCAATACTTTTGTACTTTTACTTGAGTAACATTTTGATTACAGGACTTTTACTAGTAACAGAGTATTCCTACACTCAGGTACTTCTACTTTTACTTAAGTACAAGTTCTGAGTTATTTGTCCACCTCTGGATTTAGGTATCCAATTGAGTTAAATGAAACTGAAAGCTAAACAGAAATTGAAAGGTGGAGCTCTTTCATGCACGAAACTAAACTGCGATGTTTCTACGATAAAGTCTGATTATGCCAATTCAATAATCACCAAATAAGTATTCTTACTTCTTAGCCGTGTTATGGATTATGTAGGGAGATATACTCAAAGCTAGTATGTATTCACTAAACTAAGCATTAACAGGCTTTTAAGCTTAAACTAAAACATCTTTAAAGTAAAGTTACAGTAAATTGTGAAGAATAGTTTCAGGGGGAAACGAAGCCTGGGAACTAGGCAACAGTGGCATCAGAATATGTACAGATAGGTGGGTTCATGTTGTTTAATGACTGCGTGCTGGACTTTACCCGCTGTAACCTCTGCTCCTGTCTGACTGAAGAGCACAACACGCGCACAACGATAGCGTTATAAAACTGCTGCTGTCGCCTTACTTTCAATATTTACCCTACTGTATAAAAAGGTGTTTAGCCACTAACTACAACTCTAACATTCACAACACTCGGCTTAGCCAAAGTGACTGGCGGACGTTAGGTCACTCGTGATGTGAAGCGGGTTGTAGTGGAACACTGAATGGAAGGTGACTCCTAAACAAACTGTTTCATTTCAATTCAATAAGGAGAACAACCCGAAATAGATCAAAAGCGAAACAGAAAAGGAGAACAGGTCCACTCACCTTATAAGAATCCGTCGCGAGCAAGAAATTAAAATCCTGTGCTGCCATTGTTGTTGTGGATGAATGAATGTCACGTCAGTGTCCTCGTAGCAATGTAACTACAGATAACCTGAGCCCGGAACAGCAGCAGAGGAATGAAAAACCTCACGTCGAGTTACTGTGGAGGTGAGCCCTGTGTGTTTCCACTCAACGCAGTTTCAAATGTTACAACAGCACAGCTCCAACACAGCATTAGTCATTTTGTAGGTTGGGGGTTATTGTGAAGGGGCGGGTTTCAGGGTTTCACTACGCATGGCCCCACGCACGTCCCCCTCTCCCCGCCTACGTCATGCTGCGTTTAAGGACAGCAGGGTTTTTTTGGACGACATAAACGAAACACTTGAACGTTTTGGGCAGTTTTCGGAATATGCTGTAGCCTATCTGGCTTTCTTTTAAAATCATCTTTTTACATTATCCAGAAGTTTCTCGTTTGACATGGAGCAGGCAGTTTTGTTGTGACCTTATTTCCCACAATATCTAAAAATAATATATGGAATATTTGTATAATTTGGAGGAAAAAAATACATTTAATTTGATACCCCAATCTTGGCTATGTGCTATGTACAAAACCATAGACAGTCCTGAATCCCCTAATGTGTGTCACGAAAATAATAATGAGGTTTGATTAGTTTTAGCCAAAGAAAACATTTCAATACTATTGTGAAATATTATTCCTGTTTTCCCAACAGACGATGAACTATAATGTCCCTCGTTTGAGCGTTTGAGCCTACAAATATGGCGGCGATCATAGTTTTAGCAGTTTGCCTATAGGTGGCGGACTGAGACACAAATTCAGGCCGGAGTTTGACTCACCCAAACCACTAGAGATGGCAAATCCGGATCATTTTACGGACTCATGGTCTTCTGAGTCAGTCATTGAAGAGATCCGGATCATACGAGTCATTTGAGTCATATGAGTCAGCATGACCAAGACCGTAGAAATCCTATTGGTGAAACCGAAAAGTTGTTGCATTTCACGAGCATATTATTATTCCATATATTTTGAATATACATATATATATTTGTATATATATATATATATATATAATATCTGCATGTATATTTTCTATTTCGACATGTATATTTTATATTTTATATTTTATTTTATTTTTATTTCTATTCTTGCATATTTTGTAGTTTTGTTTTATTGTAAAATGCCTTATGCTGCTGTAACAACAACAATTTCCCAATTTGGGATCAATAAAGTACTATCTATCTATCTATTAAACTGACGTTATATTAACCTCCGCTACACAGTGTATTTTGCTTTAATAAAAAATGTTGATCACAAAAAAAAGGGTTATTTTGCGATTTGGCAAATCTGAGTCTGCGAGTCCGCACTGCTGTGTGTTGCACACACAGTGAGTCAGGATTTGCGAATCCGAGTCTGCTGTGGACTCGTGCATGACGGACGAGTCTGCTGGATCTCTGGATCTGCTGCTATATGGTTACGGCTCCGAGTCCGCACGAGTCTGATCCGCTGTGTGTTGCAGCGAGTCAGGATTTGCGAATCTGCGAATCCGAGTCTGCTGTGTGGACTCGTGCATGACGACGAGTCTGCTGGATCTCTGGATCTGCTGCTATACGGTTACGGCTCCGAGTCCGCACGAGTCTGATCCGCTGTGTGTTGCAGCGAGTCAGGATTTGCGAATCTGCGAATCTGCGAGTCTGCTGTTGGAGCCGTCGGCTCCTCTGAGTCCCCACGAGTCTGCAGGAAGTTTCACTGATCCGCGTCCCCTCCCCTGAGCCAAACGATCACTTCTGGCAGCTATCCTGTGACTGTATACTTGCTAAAGGGTAGGTAGATGGACTTGGGGTACGTTGTAATGTGATTTTACATGTTATAAAGAGAGTAGCGAGTGACGCAATTTATAGTTTTAATTTGTACGTCACACCAAGTGTGGGACTCAATAGCCGCGTTCACACCGGAGTACTTTCACCGTACTTTTCGCGTTTTAGTTCCGTGAGTACCCCTTATGTCGCGTTCACACCAAAAATCGTACTTAATCTCGGGTACTTTTACCCCCATTTTTAGAGCCAGCTCAGAGAGCGTACTTTTCTGTGGGTGAAAAGTGCTCCAAAAGTGCCCCAGTGCTGATTGGCTGGGCGAATTGCAAACCACGCCCGTACAACTCTGAAAATGTTGTGTGGAGACGCCATTGTTTTTCCTCGCTACAAAAACACAACGCTCCGTGCGTTGTGTTTGTTTTTGAAAGCAGTTATGGCAAGCATCAAGAAATGATGAGGAGGTGTCGGCGCTTCTGGAGATCTACGCAGAGGACGCGACCCAGGGAATGCACTGAAGCCAGTTCAGTAGCTTTCACTCGACCTGGGAATGTGCACAGCCCCACGGCACACCGGCTAAAAATAAAGAAACTCGGGCAGGACTACAAACGGCGGATTCAGTGGCCAACGATGACGACCACGACGAAGGTAAAATCAACTACATGCACTGGGGTTTTAATCTGCACAATAATGGTCTCAGATGTACTTTTATTTGCTCAGTAGATCAAGCTAGCCATGCTAGCCATAATAGGCTAACACCGGCACCGAGCACACAGTACACACACACTGTAACTTTGTCTTGAAAGAACGTTACGCATCGAACTGATGTTCACAATCATGTTTATTTCATAATATTCATCATATTTTATGTTTAACTTGCCTCAACAACATTAAACAAAGTTCAAGCATACATGAAGCACTCTTCAAAAAGGAACAATCCTCCGTGTTTGAACCTCTTAAATCGCTGCATAGCCGATTTATTTGGACTGGATTATCCCAGAGAGGCCAAACATTCTTTATAACACAGTTTCAGATTTGTGAAACCTTAATTCTATTTGTGAAAATAAAAAAAAAGGGAGATTTCAGTGCTTTTTTTACATGTAGACCACATTAGACCAGGTCCTGATCTAAAACCACTATACCTAGACTCATCAAATCTGGACTGGATTATCCCAGAGAGTCAAAAGATTCTTTATAACACAGTTTCAGATTTGTGAAACCTTAATTCTATTTGTGAAAATACAAAAAACACATTCCTAGTATGTTGTAAAACTACATGGCGACTAAACTTGTATATTGTATATTGCTTATTTTCCCCTCTTAGGAAAGCGGACACGGGATGCGAATTTCTTTGACACCGCCCAGGCGTTGGAGGACCGGCGTGCCGTGGTGAATGAGTCGCTGCGTGGAGATCAGATGGTGCTGTTCACCAAGGCCCAGGAAACGGAGGACAAGATGCTCACCTCGATGGAGCGCCAGGCAGAAGTGTTCAAGCAGCAGATGGAGCGCCAGCAGCACCAGGATGAAGTGTGGGCGCTGCGCCATGAGGAAGCGTCGGCGCAGCGGCAGGATGAGCGACAAACTGCATTTAATAACAGTTTATTTGGTATAGTTTTTGTAAATACTGACACACGACACACAACGTTGCACTAAGGTGTGCATGCTGCTGAGAATATCCCTACACCTGGGACAGTTTATTTTATACTGTTATTACTGTTATGACTTTATTTTATATATAATGTTTACTGACATGTACAACTGACACTTTATTTACATTTAAAATTGTTCTATTTAATGTTATGTCTTGAGAGTGCAATAAAGAAAACCGACATGGCGATTAAGCTTATTTCTCCTGACACTTTATCTTTAGTGACCGTAGCATCCTATACATCACATGTAAGTGATTATTCTGATACCATCATGTTTCATCGGTTATAAACTGGCAAAGCTTTATTTGTCATTTATTTATCATCAATGTTGCAACCTTGTGGGGGAATGGCAGGGGCACATACACAAATATGACAATTTATATAATTTTAAATATTATTTGACCTAAACTTTTAATTCCCCCCCATTTCACACAACACAACATGGAGTCCACTATGGGCCAAAACTAACATGTATGTTTGCATAGTGTTTATGGCAGACGGATGCAGTGGGTCTCAGGAAGATATATAATAAAGGTGGGTTTGCTGCTGAGACTCCCTACACCTGGGAGTTTATTTTATATTGTTATTACTGTTATTATATAGTACAACTGACACTTTATTTTATATTGACAATGTTTACTGACATGTACAACTGACACTTTAGTTTACTTTAAAATATTTCTATTTAATGTTATGTCTTGAGAGTGCAATAAAGAAAACCGACATGGCGATTAAACAGATCCTGTATCAGTTTTTCTTCTTCTCTTGTTTTGTAGCGGGTTGCAAACAACTTTAAGGTGCTTACCGCCACCTACTGTACTTGTAATCTTCCCTCAGGGAAAAGTACTCCGGTGTGAACGCGATCTGTACTAAGTACCCTGGGGTTAAAAGCGCCAGGGCTCTTAGTGCCGGAACTAAGTACAGGAAAGTACTTGGTGTGAACGCGGCTAAGGACTCGGGTTAATGGAGAGGGGAGACTCGTCATGACCAGCTCATTTCTAGGATCCGGGTTAATGATCCGGATGAATCAGGACTCGCCCATCTCTACAAACCACCAAACCGTTCATTTTGTAGGCTAACCTTATGTGTTGAATAAGTATCCTTTTACATTTGGCCATTATGTTCATCTTGGAGGATTACACAAAACTATTTGGGACTGACCAACAAGTAGTCAGTCCGAGTTTCCAAGGAAGGTGTGAACTTTCAGAAACTCTTTTGTAATATCCATTATATTATAGCACATTCAAATGCACAAGGCTAGACCATAGACTGTATATATAAAGGGCTAGACACACAAACCAGAGTGAGACACAGTTGAGATGTTGAAATGATGATCTTGTATTCAAGCATTAGGCATATCAAAAGTATCAGGAAATCCACACACACATTCATTGAAATGTAACATCAGCTTCAACAATGTGGTTAGTAAAATATTTTTAGATTACATTGTTCATACACTGCACACTAATAAGGATTAAATAAACAATTAATATTAATATTAAGCAATAAATATTGATCCTAGGTAACATGACTAATTATAATATGAGACTCCAAAATACACAGCTTTATTGAAACGCGTTAACTCACAGAACATTTAGCAATAATTAAGAACGTTATTGCACAGCTACTTCAGAGTAACCAGCAAGTTATTATTACCACGGTGAACCAGTAGGCGGTGCATCAACTCACACACTTCTCTCTGCCATCTTGTGAATGATGTCATCTTTGTCAAGTCCCATAAGAATACCCTTCTCTGTTGCCATTAAAAGAAGCACTTGAAGTTTCTCTTG